GAGGAATCTTCCTGATCCCCTTCTCTGCTCTGAGCACTAGACAGTCTGCTCTCCCTGCAAATACAACCCATTCCCACAACACCAATAAACTTACATTACCTCTTCCCACATTTCTGAAAGAAAATAAAAATGGATAAGAAAACACTTTTTCTTCAGTGCTCAGCAATAATTGCTTTCTAAAGGCATGAGCAATAAAACCTCTGACATCCAAGAGATGAGGAACATGCCCAGGGTCTGACCATCTTTGCAGTTATAGTGACAGGAACAGGGAGTAACATCTCATCCCAACAGCCATGAAAATGATGAGAAAGCAGCATTTTAAAATTAAAATAATTCCTCAGTGAGAAGAATCCTGACCCTGACTGGGCACTTTCTGTAGTTCATTCAAAAGCCAGACATTCCTTCAAACCTTTTTCAGGACTTTTGGTACTTTTATTGCCAGGGAGTTTGCCTTCCTCGTATTAATTTCCTATTCTGGTTAGTTCAGGGTATAGAAGTGGCTGCACAATTCCATGAGTTTGGTAGCAAGGCGAGTGCTAAAGGAAGGTGAGTTCTAGAGGCTAAAGTGTCCCCTCTGGAAGTGTGGGAGTCATTCATTCATTTAGGTGACTAAAGCAAATGCCACCTATTGCCACTGCCACTGTACTTTAACAGCACTTCTCAAATAATTTGTTTATTTCAAATGGAAGTTGCCAGATATCCAATCTTTTGTATTTTCTTTAAAGAGAGCACTAACTTCTTACCTGCTTTTACAAGTCTCTGCTGCTTTCCTCTGATCTGCTTAACACGTAAACACCTCTAATAGGTTGAACTTGCTGTGAGATGCAAAATACAGGAACTGTCTACATGAAAAGCCTTAATCAGTCATGAGTTTGGTAAATGATGTCCCCATGCCATCCATATTGAGTGTCCATTACTCCTGGACATAGCACATTAACTGACTCATTAGCTATTTCAAACCATATGGACTTAGGTTTGGGTGGGTTGCTCTAATAATATCCTGAGGTGAGCTTCCTAATTATTGTAATTATGTGATCTCAATCACGGGGCCAGCCACACAAAATAGAGTCAGGAGGCTCTGAAATGGGTGTCAGTGCACCCAGACAATGACTGAGCTGAGCAACACGGCCCCTGGATGTTGGAGCTCCCTGGATACTGCAAGAAGTAATTACTCCCAAAGTTCTGAGGAGCTGGCAGGGAGCATGGCAACAATGAAGTGAGCACGGCAGGAGCACGGGATCTGCACAGATGCAGGGACACAAATAGATTTCCTCAGCACAAACTGGGAAGCAGTCTGAAACTTGATGCCTTGTTGTCAATGCTCTTAATACAGAGATGTTACATCTCTGGAGTAAATTTAGCCATGATATTTTAAGCATCAGTGAGATCTGGAGCAAAGCAGGGGAATTGAATGTGGGAGTGCTAAAATGTCAGTGTTAAATACCACAAAAGCATCAAAACGCAATGGTGAGAGAAGCTACAAGTGCTCACCTGCTGTAGGAAATTTAAGGGGCTCTGTGCATGTGACACTGTAAGATTTCATATAACTGACTGCAATCTTTTATATTCCAGCTTAGGTTTGAGCAAGGAGAAGAAAAAGATTAAAATAAATGGAAGATGGACCAAATGTTTAATGTACAGGCCATGTGTTAATGTAACGTGTTTTGCTTTAAGACAAAGACAGAAGCAAATACAGCCTCAGGACAGGTTTGCTATCTTATTAAACACTTAAAGAAAGCATTGACTCCCCAGGAACCTCACCATACTCTTTAAATGCAGCCCATGATAAACCAGAACAGCTGATTGTTACTCTCCAGAACATCTGCTGATAAGATAGTACATTTTTACTCTTATTAGCATACTCACATTTCTCCTGGTAGGATTTTTGAATTTGGCAGTAGTGGTAGCTGTATCATCTCGAAGAGAAATTTCTTCCATCATAATGAGGCTTTCCTGAATAAACCCAAACCAAAAAACCACCCCCACATCTGTAATTGTTCTGGGCATTCATCCCCTTTATCACCTCCCCAAACTGCTAATTTGTAGCAAATGTGAAGAGGGCACTCGGCTTTATTTAACCTGCCTAAATGAAGATCAGTTTTTTGGGAGGGTTGCTAATTGGTTGATGATAAGCAGTTGAAAAGAAAAAAAAGCCCCATCTCCAGTTCAGCCCAACAAGAAAAGAAGATTTCCTAGGCCCACCCACAAAACACGTGAATGTGCTATTAACAAGGCCAAAGGCTCTAGAATCAAGTTCTAATCTGCTTAGAGATTTTCTTAGGCAAAGCCTTTGGTCTCTTTTAATTTTTAGAAGTATGTATGTGTCAATTTTGTTTTTTAAAGTGTCTGAAATGAAGCCATACAAATTTTGCTGGTAACACACACATTTTTGTGGGCCTACTAGTTATGGCTCTTTATTAATAAAGATCTGCATTTAAAGTATAAACTCATTCTTCAGGAGTGGCCTGGTATGTGCAGAAACTTTTCCTTTTAGTGTTTTGGTTTTTTTTTTAATATGAGTCATATGACTAGTTTCTATTACATTCCTGAGTGGCTGTCTTTGAGGGTTTTAACTTTTAATGACTGATGAAAGCTTTAGCTTTCCATCTAGTCTCTGATTAAAAAAAAATAAACAGTAAACAAAACAACCAAACAAATCAGTATTTCTTACGATTTGTAGGATAAATATCTTAAACCCTCTTATACCACATGTTAACGTTAAATTGTACGAGTTGTGATAGAGCTCTAAGCTATTAAGGGTGGTTCACTATTCCTCAGAACTGCATGAATTATTCATACTTAACCTGTTTGTTTTGTTGTTTTTCTTTATGTTTCACTTTCTTATTCTGGTGAAACTTTGTGGGCAGAGAAAGAGCTTGGAAGCAGGAAGCCCTTTGATAATGCTTTCGTTTCACTTTAATCACCTGGATACCTCTTTGCAACAGCTGAGCAAAAAAGTTTTCTCCTTAAACAGAGGCTTGTCCTCTGATTCCCAGGCAACTATTTCGAGGTAATTTTCTTCTGGAAAGATCCTTTCCAGATAATGGTGACAGTTAAACACTGATAATGGTGATGGTTTCTTTGATGCTGAACTGGGCATCTGTGGTTGCTTTTTAAAAGAAACCAAACAACCCCAACACCACCATTCTACAGCCTGTTTTGACAATTGCTGTAAAGAGGGGAAAACTCTACAAAATGCTTTATGGAAATTTTGAATTTGTTCCCTTGGTGGCTGAGCTTTCTGCTGTTTTCAGTAATAATAAAACCACAGAGCCTGCAAGACTGATGAAGCTAAAAGGGTTGTTACATAAAAGCTTAATTTACTGACAGCAATACAGGCTTTGCAGTCGTAATCTGTGTTGCTACTTTGAAGTTTACTTGTAATGATGTGGTTGCTGATGTTTTGGATTTTGATTGTTCTTTTAAAAGAGACATAAGTCCTTTTAAAAAAATAGGCTTAAACTTGTTAGTTTTATACCCTCTTTTCTGGAGAAGGACTTGTAGCTGTGGTGTGGTGGTATGCCTAGGTGGTGTGCACGTGGGTGAACAGACCCTACTGATAAAACTTGCACAAAATGGTGGCTTGTGATCAAAGCTATACCCTGGGATCTTGGGGAATTAAAACTCACCTCACAGTGTCCTTTACTGCCAATTTACAAGGTGATGGGGCTGATCGACTCCTGGCTCAGCTGCATCTCTCCTCTGTCCCTGTCTGGAAGCAGCCTGAGGTGACCATTACCTGTTGCAGTGCGCTGTTCTGGGGTGAGTACCTGTGTTTCTGGGTGGAAATTGTTACCCTTGACATCTGCCAGGAAAATCCTGGGGGAAAACCCCAGTGGCCTGAGTGAGGTCTGGCACCATGACAGTTTTGGGACTTCGCTGCACCCCAAATCCTGTCAGCTGAGATTTTTTTTTTTTTTACGTCACACAGGAGACCGTCTGATGTCCTACTTCTCAATGCACGAAATAATTTTTAAAAGCGCAGCCTCAGACGCGGGAGAGCGGGAACACCGGGGGCTGAGGCAGCTACGCAGCCGCCATCTCTCCCTGCTCCTCCGTCCCTCATGATCACCCCTGCTCCTCCATCCCTCACGATCTCCATCTTCGTCCTCCGTCCCTTACTATCTCCCTGCTCCATCTCCCTCTTCGTCCCTCCGTCCCTCACGATCCCCCTCTTCGTCCCTCACGATCTCCATCTCCCTCTTCGTCCTCCGTCCCTTACGATCTCCCTCTTCGTCCTCCGTCCCTCACGATCTCCCTGCTCCATCTCCCCCTCTTCGTCCTTCGTCCCTCACGATCTCCCTGCTCTATCTCCCCCTCTTCGTCCTCCGTCCCTCACGATCTCCATCTCCCCCGCTCCTCCGTCCCTCACGATCTCCATCTCCCCCGCTCCTCCGTCCCTCACGATCTCCCTCTTCGTTCTCCGTCCCTCACGATCTCCCTCTTCGTTCTTCGTCCCTCACGATCTCCATCTCCCTCTTCGTTCTTCGTCCCTCACGATCTCCATCTCCTCGTTCTCCGTCCCTCACGATCTCCATCTCCTCGTTCTCCGTCCCTCATGATCTCCCTCTTCGTTCTCCGTCCCTCACGACCTCCCTGCTCCATCTCCCCCTCTTCGTTCTCCGTCCCTCACGACCTCCCTGCTCCATCTCCCCCTCTTCGTCCTCCGTCCCTCACGATCTCCCTCTTCCATCTCCGTAATCTCCGTGCTCCTCCATCTCCTGTCTCCCTGCCCCCGGAGCGAGGAGCCGAAGCGCCCGGGACACAGCGATTTTCCGAGCGCCATCTCCCCGCTCCGTGCCCCTGAGGGGAGGTGGCGGCGCCTCAGGGCGGAGCTGAGGGGAGGCGGGAAATGGCGCGCGCCCCGCCGCCCTGAGGGCCGTGAGGCGGCGGCGGCCGCGAGACTCCCTCACCCTGGCCGGGGCTGTCCCGGCCCTGCCCCGATCCCCGCTCTGGCATTCCCCACCCCGGGTTTCCCCACCCCGGGTTTCTCCGCGGGAAGACGGCGTCCCGCTACTCGTTCCTCCTCCTCCTGCTGCTGCGGAAGTGCCCGGCTGGGAAGTTTGCGGCCGGCGGCGGGAGGAGGCCGAGGGGGCTCTGTGGAGGTTGGTGAGGGGAGCGGCCTGAGGGGCATCGCCCCCTGTCCCTGCTCCGTGCTCATCGAGGGATACTGAACCTTCTGGCAGCAATTTTTCGACAAACTTTCTCTTTCGTTTTCCCCCTCACTCAAGGTACGATGCCGCCCAAAGGTCCCGGCAAAGGAAAGCTGCCAGTCCCGCTCCCTAAAGACATGATCCTGAAAGACACCGAAGGAAAAACCTGGAGGCTGGGCAGTCAGATCGGCCAGGGAGGATTTGGCCTGATCTATTTAGGTAAAATTCTGCTGATAATTAAGAGGGTGACTTGCAAATTGCACTGTAGCTTCCTGAACTGGAAAAAGCAGTAACTTTAAAAAGCGTGGTTTACATGCTGTTGGTGATCCTTGTTCAAGCGTGGTTTTCTGAGCTGCTGTTCCTGTTCCATTCCTGCTCATGGTGCAGCATCTTCTCCATGGCCAGTCTAACTCATTTTGCTGGGTACTAATGTGCTTTTCCATGGAGCTTAAGTGGGGCAACCAAGGGGCCAGTGTCAAAGAGTACCAAAAAGCACTGTCAGGTGATGCTTTTCAAAGTAAAAGCAGGTTTTGGCCTTATGCCAGCCTAATGCTCTGTGGCTCTCTTTCAGTTTCTGGTTATAGGAAGTGTTACTTTCTGGCCAAGAGTAAATTAGTTGTCATCTAGGAAATGAAACAGTGACAATGCTTAGCTGGGTGCTGCCTCTGAATTCCCATCTTTTCAACAGAGGTGGAAATGGTGTTCTGTATTTGCTCTGGCCTAGATATGTTTCTGTGTTTCCTTCAGAAGAAGCTGCTGCATTTCAGTCAGTTTGTGCTCTGTGAGGAATGAATAGCTCTGAAAGGAGTTTGTAAAGCATTCTGGGTCACTGCAGAGGGTGTGATGTATGTTATTGTTGCTGGTCGCTGTGAAAGAGCAAATCCTGTGTTCAAGGCAATATTATGAGCTTGGGTGGTTTGGTTTTTCTTATTTTCATGGTAACATATAAAAAGTAGTCCACGCTGTCTGTTTGGAACTAAGTTGAGCTTGTATGAAGAATCACCTAGAAGCAGTTTACTGCATTGTCCCTGAAACATAATATGATCTTTTAAAGTTATAGTAATATTAACTCTATTTGGAATATTAAGGCCTAAAGCTTAATGAGCAAGTCACTCCTATACACAAACCAGCTTCTTTTTATGCAGAAATCAGGTACACATACAGCAGCAGTACATCCAAGAGATTCCTGTGGTGAAGTTTCTGATTTGGTTTCTTCTGGCATTTCTATAGTTCACACTGTTCTTCACTGCTCTGCTGACAGAACCAGTGGGAATGACGGGGGTTTCAGCTAACAGAGATGCAGAGGCATCAAAGGGTAGGGCACTTGTTAGAGTATTTACCTTCTTTTTTCATTTTGGTACATTTTAGTACCTTGTTATGACCACCTTTGAAGCATTAGTTGGTTACATTTGAGAGATGCTGTGTGTTGGGCACATGAGAGATGTTAGCATGAGAAAACAGACCTTAGCATGAGCTGAGAATTACAGGTATCCCTGGGAATGGCCATTCCAAGATAAAGGAAGATGGGAACCTGCAGAAGCCTCCCACAGACAGAGGGGTGTAAGGGAGCTGGGGATGCAGTGTGAAAGCAAGTTTGTAGTGGGTGTAACTCTCCATGTGTAAGACCAGTGATGCTGTGCTCCTGAATCACTCAGAGTCCAGCTCTGTCATTTCCTGCTGCAGCCAAATCACACTGGACCTTGAGAGTGGCTTAGTGTGTGTGTGGGATTCAGACAGCTCCATGCAGATTTGAGTTTTCTGCCTGATCACAGAGCCCACCAAGGTGATTTCTTATATTGAGGTGTTTGTTGCAGTTTGGCTCCCACTGAACTGAGGTGGAGAGCAGTCAGTGGATTAGAATGAGAATGCAACCAGGGACTCTTGGTATTACTATTCTGTGGTTTTTGAAAGTGACAGCATGGCTGAGAAAATGCAGCTGCCACTTTTGTAATGGTATTTGTGTTCGTTTAATCCCTTCTTTCAGGAGGAGCAGCGAATGCTACCTGCAGCACTGAACTGAAGGCTCAGTTCCCCTTGTAGCTCATCAATTGAAGAGAAAATGGACATTTATCCCTAAGTATTGACACTGAAGCTTTCTCTTTTTTTTTTTTTTTTTGGTACATCTCTTGATCTCTGATGTGTTTATATTAAAGTATACCATTCAGCAGCTTTCTGGGACCTTGATGCTCCAAAATTCAGCTTTGAGAACCAGGGGGAATGAAGTAGATGACAAATTTTAGTGATTAAGATATAGATGCTTGGAGACACCCCCTTTTCTCTGTGCTGTCCAGACCTGTTTTTAGAACACCTAGAGCAAGGTGTGAGAGGAGCACTAACTTTCAGAGAGAAGCTCACCCTGAAGGAGCTGTAGAGAGGGGGGAGGCAGGAGCTTCATTTGCCTGCCAGGTATGAAGAGCACAGCCCTTTTATGAAAGTAAAGGTTAACTTTGTCAGCTATATCTTTTAATAAGTATTTTTACAGGAGCAGTGTAAAGATTTTGATGTGGTTGTTACAGCTTAATTTCCCATTAAGGGTATTCCATACTCCATTAATCTATAAAAACGTTCTTGAGAAATTTTAGAGGATCTCTGCAAAATCTACGGGGGTGCATTTTGTGGAAGAAGGTTCTGTTCACTAAATTAAAGCTGCTGAAAGCCATTTACTGTCCCTGAGTCCTAGGATGCAAACGTGGGGCTTTGGAACTTCTAATTGTGTGCATGAAAGTTAGCAGGATCTCCAAGTTCTGCCCTGCCTCACAAATGCTTTCCCTTGTTTTCTGATCAGTCTTACTCTTTCCAGTCCATTCCAAATGTTTGTGTTGCTGGTGCTGATTTGCTCTCAGGCAGCTCAGGTAGAGCTGTTCTCCCTTTGATAGGGGGAGCAGAAGGAAGAACACCTGCAGAAGGCTGTGACATTGGTGGTCTCACAACTGGTTTGTAGCCCTGTGGAGAGCAGTGGAAAATGAACCATGAGCTGAGGAGCCTTACATTCTCTCATTTATCTCTCTAATCACAGCCAGTAATTAACACCAATCTTTATATAAATCATTCTCTAGTCCTGCTGCAAGCACTCTATTAATGCACAATTTGGACTGAAAATTTAAATGCAGAAAGGTCACACAATGTTTTGTTAAGATTCCTCTGTCACAGTGAAGCCTGCTGCATTCAGCACTATCTACTTGCAGGCTTCTTGCTCATGGAAAAGAATGGTTCTGAAAAATAGAAATATTTTTTATAATTTATGTTAAAATATTTATTAGGTGGTGTCTTTTATGATAGAATTTACTACATTGTAAATGTGTTTTAATTTTATGAAGCTCAGGAAAATAAGTATTGATAAAGTCATCATTGAATGGTACCCTGCTTGGAGATCAGTATCACCAGTGCACTATCCTTTCCTTTTGAGATTTTTTTCCTCACATTTTCAAGGAAGAGGGAAAGAATTTCTTCCTGAGCAGCAAACAGTGATTGAATGGGTGAATATTGTCTGTTCATACTAGCAGTACGGTGAGCCCTGCTACTGGTGGAGGTAAGGAGGAGGTCTGGTGTGATCACTTCTTTTTAGTTTGGGTCATAGTGCAGTCTAACTGCTGGTGCTTTGGGAAGCAGCCTGGGGTGTAAAAGAGGGTTTTTTTTTCTGTTTCAGACTAATCTCCATGGATAATTTGTGTAGTTGTGAGCAGGGGTGTACCTGTGTCAAGGAAGAGAAGTGTGGATGGAAGCACACTCGGTCCTATTGTTCATTCCTTGGTTTGCTTGGGAAGCTGCTTTAGCAATTGCTTCTAGAGAAACGAAGTCCTTCAGCAATTGCCTAAATTAACACAGCAAATTAATTAAAAATGCAGTAAAATTATACCAAAAGATAAATTTGACGTGATTTTTATTAGCCCCGTGGAAAGAAGAATCTTAATAGCAACGCCATGAGCAGGTAACTCAGGGATGGATTTTTCTCAACTTCAAGATGTTAAAATGCATTGTACCTACAGATGTGAACCTTAGTGTCAAAATAAATTTGTTAGTAGACAAACACCACTTGAGGAAGGGTCTTTTTGTCTAGTCACTAATATTAAAGTGTACGAGTAGAGATACTGCAAGCACCCTGTTTTAGGCAAAATAAATCATAAATTTAGCCGGATTTTGCTACTCAGAAGTTACTTAGGGCTGACTGACCTTCACCATCTGACAAAGAGAAAATACTCATTACCTTTACTAGTTCTTACTGGTGAGTACCTCCTCTGGAATATTCCCCCTTTCTTTTTCTTTTTTGGTCCTCTGTAAGCTGGAAATCGTAACTTGAAAAATGTAATTAGTTTTTGCACAGTGGTCTAAAGCCTGCAGAGATCATTACTGTTACACTGTAGTGTTCTTCCACATCACGTGTTGGGGATTCCTGTTCCATATGCTGAGTAATGCTGGGAGGTCAGGAGAGCAGTTCTGATTGATTGAATTTATTTATAATTTACTTTTCAGTGGGGGATGTGGGAGGAGCTTTGGAGGACAGCTCAGGTACCAGTTGCCTCATGCAGGGCACTCCTTCAGTTGCCTTTGGCACCTGTACCCTGCTGAAACTGGCATTGTATCTTCTGTGTGGGCACCATGTCAGACCAGCAGATGGGCTGCAGCAGGATCTTGCCAGAAAACAGTTTGTGCATCAAGTTTTAAATATTAGAGGCCTGGGCTCCCATCTGAGAGTGCTGTAAGAGCAGGCCATGCAAAGCTTTTCTGCCTGGGGTTAAAGGATGTGTCATCCGTATTCCAGCTTGGAGTAATTAACTTTGAAAGTCAAACAATTGGCTTCCATTGCTGTGGAATACAAAAACTCTGGTGAGTCAAGATTAAGGTTTCACAGAAACACAAGTAAGAAATTTAGTGAAATTTCCTACCAGTACTGAATCCTCTTGACTTGGAGGCATTTGGAGTTACTGCAAAACAGTTGAGCAGTTGGACACTATTTTGTCCTAAAATCAGTTTAGTTTGGTCTTGTGGGAGATGGGTCTTATGGGGGGTTATATATCTGTAATCTGTATAAAAGCCCACTACTGTCTTAAAGCTACCTGAAAAAGGAATCTAGGATGAAACCTGGTCAAAAACACAGCTCAGCAAAAAGTCTGTCCAGGAAATGATGCTACATCTGTAAAGTAACACAGATGGATCTTCCTTAGGCTGCATTTAAAGTGGGGTGCAAACACCCTTCAAACACTGAATGTGTCAGTTTTTGGGAAATATTGGATATTGCAGTGTCAGGGAGGGGGAGGCAATGTGCTTTGTTTGCCTTTAAATATTTGCCTTAGCAGCTTCCCTGTGTAAGAAATAGAGAAAGTTGTGTTTAATAGCAAATGCTGCTTTTTATTGTGTACATTTTGTTTTTAGTAATTCTATTGCAATTTGGATCCTTTTTTATCATTAGATGCTCTGAGCAGCACTCCTTCCCTGCTTTCACCCATTGAATTTAACAGCTCTTGGCTTGACTTAGCAGGGTCAGAACTTTTCCAGCTTTTTTTAATAGGTGGCCTGTAACTTCAAAAATGTGATATTTTTGAGATTAGTTTGGATTTCTGCAAAAACTAAGCTGATATATCACTCCTCAGGATTAGCTAATGAATAGAACAAAGCAAAAATAAAATAGTAGCAACTAAAGAGCTTCTGAAAATACTTTCATTCATGTTTCCAAAACAAATATATCCTCAAAATATCCAGCAGTGGCAAAGACACCAGCTGTGGACAGGAGCAGGGCTGTTTTTCCAAACTGACAAATCAATGCTGTTTTCTTTTCCACTGTGTAAACTTTGTCAACAAAAGTGGTTCTGTGAGAGCCATTGAAAATATTTCACCATATTCCAAATGTGGCTGCCACAAATTAACTGCTAAAACTACAGCAAGCACGTTTGAACTGGCAAAGGGAGCTGGCACGTTCCTCTGTCAGGCTGCAATTGTGCTGTGTGGTTGTAGGAAATGGCAGTTCAGCCACAAACACCCTTTTGTTACCATAGCTCGTTAACATTTAGAGAGTGCCATTAATTAAGGATGTGGCACTCAGCAACAGAAAGGATGAAATACATGGTTGAAGTGGATGGTCTGGCTTTAACTGCTGTGCTGTTAGGGAATCCTGGACGTGGGCTAATTCCAGGTGAGATTTTTGTGTAGGCACAGCAGTTGGAAATGATTGCTAGGATGTGAATCTTACTGCATGCTTTATTTCAGAGGGCACTCTAAAGCTGTGTGCTCCTCACTGGTGTGGTAGCTGTGACTGGGATGGAGGGGAGGAAGGGAAAACAGAGCTGTGCCCTTTGCCCTCTGCAAATGTTTTGTGAGAGTCCTCTTGCCATGAGGTGAAAACAGCCACAGCCTCTTTCACCCCTACATGCTGCACCAGTGCTCCCAGTTACACAGTGGTTTGGGTTGTGTGCCTGCATCAACACCCCCCTCCTCAAATGTCAGGGGTTGTGCATCTCTGGTCGATAGAAGCAGCATAAGCTGGGAACTTGTACACTTGTTATGCTATTTTAAGGGTTTTTTTGCAAACATAATCTCACCGTATAGTGCTTATAGTGCTCCTGGTACCCTCTGTGAGTACTTATCTGCCATCAGAGACCTCCTGCCTATCAGCACTGCTCTCCTGCAGAGCCTCTGCTCACTGTCCTGCAGTCTAGCATTTAACTGATTGTAATATTATAAATAGCCATGTGCTACCACACAGAACGAGGCTAGCACATGGCTAATTACGAGTATACAGTAATTAACTATGAGCTAAACTCGCAGGAGAGTATGTGGTGGTGGTCTATGAGGTATGTAATCAGACTGTTTGTTAAACCTTGGGAGCCTTTCCAGTCTGTTAAATAACTATACATAGTAATGAGACAATTTTTAAAAAACCATTTATGTTTATTTATGGACAAAAAAATAGTCTGTCTTTTTTCTGAGCTGTGACTGGAGTATTGCTGGTTGAGATCTGAGTGGGTAATTAAAGTGATGTAATAAAAAGTACCCATACAACTTCTGCTTATCTGTATGGATGAGACTGATTGTCCCAGTATTGTCTGTGTAAGAAGTTTAGTGTTATTCATGAGGACTGTTGGGCCTTGTTACATGTATGTGCAGTAAAAATAATGCCTTTTCTCCTTTTGTGCACTTAAATGTAACTCCTTTTGTGGGGTACCTGTGTCAGTATCTTGTTGAGGCTTTGACTTTTCTCCCTGTTCATTTTGTAACCATTGCCAGTTATGTTGGGTTTATTTTCCTTCAGGATATGCTTTCGGTGTGTCCCCAGAAGTGTCCAAGGCAGCACAGTGTAAGAACCATGGGGGTGAAGCCCTTTTGCTGGGCTGCCTCCTGTTAATTGCTCTTCTTCATTACCCTGACAGCTGTTACTCTGTTCCAGACTACCATGAATGAGGCCTCTCTTTATAAAATGTCAAGAAGTCTAGAGGGAAGTTAGATCAGTCTCTTTCAAATACATGTAAATTTGATCCCTGCCTACACCTATCAAACCTCTGTTAAGTAACTTGATATTGAACTACATTTTCTTATCCAGAGGTTCTTTTCTGATCTGTGCCAGTCAAGGGAGCACATCAAATTCTGTTTGGGTAATGTGATGTTGTTGAATGCAGTGAAAACACGTGGGATGTGCTCCTTTTACTAATGTCTGCTATTAACACATATTCTATATGTGGCAGAGAAAAATATGAGACATAAACATCTGTGCCTTAATTCCCACTTCAGTACAACGGTATGGTAAGAACAAAGTGTACCAAAATTTCCCTTCTAGTAGATTTAATGTATGTACTGAATGTGACTGTTACTTGTGCAAGTCTATGGGTCATTCACACCTTCCAGAGCTACTGTTTTAATACTGGAATTTTGCTTTAATGTGTTACTAGCACAGCAGCACTCACATGGGGAAGTGTCAGTGGGGAACCTGGGGTGTTTGGGGTGTGGGCACTGCCAGATTCGACCCAGATGCTGAATAGAATTGAAGGAAGATGGCAGCTGAGGGAGTCTGTTCATTGTAAAAGTATTTTTATGCCCTGACCATCAAAAAAAGTAAGCTTGGATGGTTTGATTAGATCCAAGTTTACTTGATTTTTATTATGCGGATGAAAGGGGTCTATTTTTGTGTGTGCTCATGGTTGAAGTGTTTCACACCTGGACTGTTGTTGGTATTTGATCATTATCAGAAGTTTGAAAGGGACACTTATTTCCTAGGAACTGTATTCTTTTTACCCTTTTTCAGTGATGATTCTAAAAGATGATTTAGTCTCATTAAATTTTAATCCCAGTGTAGCTCCATGTAGCTTCAGTAGTATCAGAGAGAGCTGATAGTTCTCTCAGGGTCAGAAGAAAATAGGATTGCATTGTCTGTGCACAGAGGTTCTGTCTCCTGGGCTGTAATTGGCACATGTGGTCAATTATTGTTTTGAAATCTCTACTTGCACTGAGAGGCACAATCCCTCAGCTCCCCTTTAGGCAGGTGGTGGCTGTGCTATCCCTAACTTAGGCCAGTGTCTAAATAATGCCAGAATAGAAATCAAGGTTCTAGGACCAAATTAATTTGTGATAGAGGAAAGCAGACAATCCTGTCTAGAGGCGTAATGTAGGTCAGAACTTTTAAGTGGTGTCTTTGTCACGACAGTAGATTGACAGCAACCAAATACAGTGGTTTTCCAGTTGGCTGGAATGACTTAAACAGCCTGTGTCCTAATGGAATAGCTCATTGTGGTGCAAACGTGCACTGAGGACATCCTGCTTACTGCTTAATTAACATCCAGGGGAGACTTCTGAAAACGTGGCTTAAAATTGCTTCTCTGCTTGTTGATTAAAACTTCTCTCCGTGTGTTGGTTTTGTTTTATATTTCTTTGAACTTGGCAAAGCTCTGACCCTTAAAAGCAGGAATTCAGACTATCTTTTGTTGTGTATTTTTGGTTGCCTGACTCAGTGTTAGCAGAGTCTTTATTTGCAATTACATTTTGTTGCATACAGCTTGATCTCCATCTCTTTGTTCCTTTGCAGCATCCCCTCAAACTCAGGTTCCTGTAGAAGATGATGCAGTGCATGTCATTAAAGTGGTAAAGTGTAGATCTCATTTCTAAATTATTAACTGGCATGCAGTTCTTTCTCTTAATTATCTATCCTCATTTTCAGCATTGGGTCTCTATTGCATGCTTGTGGGTTTTGGTGCTTGGGTTTTTTATATCCTTTCCCTGCTTGGGGATACGTTTGCCATTTCCATGATACACAGTATTTCCTTGATTTTTTTTATTTTTTTTTTCCTTGATTACAGCCCCTCAACACTTTAGTGAGGAAAATTATACTATGATCTCACACACACCTGATCTCCAATATTTCTGAAAATAGTATCTTAAATAATATCTGAAAGAATTGGTGTTGGTTATGAAAATGCATTGCCAAACAACTTTTATTTTTAGCTACTTAATAAAATTAAATTTCAGGTGACATGGAGTTTGGGGCATGGGAGAAAAAAAGGGTTTCATTCCTTGGTATTTATTATATGCTTTTCTTAATAAACTGTTGTCTTTTTAATGCCTTTTATGATACCAAGTTTATTTGTTTCTCAACAGGAATATCTTGAAAATGGCCCCTTGTTTTCTGAGCTGAAGTTCTACCAGAGGGCTGCAAAACAAGAGCATAGTAAGTAAAGTAATGTCCCAGCTCTGACTCAGGTAGCTGTAAGGACAAGTTTGGGTTTAACTGCTTCTGTTAAGAACTGTTGTTATAGTGCTTGAAAGCCAGCTCATTTCATGTACCTTGAACCAGTGCCAGCTGATGCTGTGGTAATTCTGGATTGCTGTAGGTTTTGTTACTTGGGTGTTGTCCTTGTTCTTTCTAGTCAGAAGGGAGAACAGAAGCCAACCAGCCAGAACAGGGCCACATTTGTTATGTGCACACCAAAGAATGGACTCTTGAGTCAGGCCAGGCCTAGGACAGAGAAAACACCCCAAACCTGGAGTTTTCACCTGCCTTTAACCCAATGTTATGTTGTTCTTATTACAGTAAGAAAATGGATGAATCTCAAAAAAATAAGATGTTTAGGAATTCCAGTATTTTGGGGATCAGGCCTGGCTGAGTACAAGGGAAAAAGGTAATGAGATAAATGGTAATTAAACCTCAGTTTGACTGACAACCCATTTTCAAAAACGGAGGTTTAGTCCTTTCAATCCGACACAAACTTGTAGTCATGTCTTAAAGGATTCCTTCCTTTTCCATATTCCCTGATAGCTACAGGTTCATGGTCATGGAGAGACTGGGGCAAGACCTTCAAAGAATCTTTGAAGATTGTGGAAGCAAGTTTAAGAAGGAGATTGTCCTGCAACTTGGGGCACGAATGGTATGCAAAGAGAGAGAGGAAATTGCTGTGTCTCAAATTTGCTGAGTTCAACTAGAGAATTTTCTTGCTAATACAGTTGTTTTAGGTGGCTGCTGAGTTTAGAATCAAATGTGCAAATGCTATATATGTTCTTATTTCTCTGGAGTTTTTTAGGGAAAAAGTAGAAATTCAGTAGAAAATCAAGACTCCTCTACAGACTGAAATTTGGTCAAACCAATTCCTTTTTGTAATAGGCTAAAACACAGACCCTCCACTTCAACATGTGTGTCTAGACTGAGATGTGTAAGCCTATTCTCATGTTTCAACATGTATTGATTTTTTTTCAGTGTCTGAAGGGTATTGTATTAGACATTCATATTTGTCAAAGTTCACAATTGCATGCTTGAATGCCAAATTTTCAGTGTGTTTGCTGAACACACTGATCATACAGGCCAGGATTCGGCCTGTCTGCAAATACCAGTTTTGCTTTCAAATGGGTCTAGACTGGCACATTCCAACAGAAAGTTTCATATGTGCACCTTTGTAACATGATTTGTGTTGTGAAATACTGTGAAATACTGCTATTGCTGAGCAGAGGTAGATAGAAAATGGAGTAGAGGCAATGGTCTTAAGTTAGAGAACTCTGAGACTGGATGCATCTAAAGCATCCCTTTAACCTAAAAATATATATTTTTTTTTTTTTTAATTGAAGGGCTTTCATAGTCACATAATTGATAAACCTGTAATGCTGTTTGTTCTGCCCAAAAGTTAGGATTGGGTTGTCCTTTGAGTTGCCAAGTGCAAATGTATTTTTTAATAATAATTCGAGCTACTGTGCCTCAGTACTGCTGGAGGAGCTGGTGCAGGGGGGCTGTGACATGAGATGCTGGTCATGTAATAACTGGTAGGATCACACTTCTGCCAAACCTTTAGAACTGATGGAATATGATCTTTCTAAGAGCTTGGTGTTCTCAGCAACTCCTCTGGTGTTTATCAAGTACTGGTTTCATTCTTGCTCTGGAATTTAGAAGCTGGTGCTCAGCTAGTTACACAGGAATAGCTCGTGCAAAGTATGTCTTGTTTATGCTTTGCCATCATTAGTCCAAGCCCAATTTGTCAGCTCAGTCTGTGTAGCCCTTGGTTCCCCTGTCTGAGTGAGAAATACTTGGTGGCAGGGTTAGGGGCAGAGTGGAGAAGATGATGATGATGTTCTCTGTTCTAAACTCTTAGTTGGATACTTTGGAATACATACATGAAAATGAGTATGTCCATGGGGACATTAAAGCAGCAAATCTCCTTCTGGGCTACAGCAATCCACATGAGGTGAGTGTGTTTACTTATCTACACTTTTACTTTTCTGTTTTTATAACCATTGAAAAGTTTTAAGTTTTGCACATGTTTTACTTTCACAACTCACATATTAAAAAGAGTTTATGTATGAACATTCACATCCCCTCACAACAGGTCTGAGTGGCTCTGTGGAGCTTGAGGGCTGAGAAAGAAGCAGGACAAAGCTGTGCTTTGTTCCCTCTGTTCTGCTGACTGGGATACTTCTGTGGATGGGTAAATTAATAAAGAGGATAAATTATAAGACCTAATTACTGCTCTAGGTTATACCAATTAAAGGATACTAGAAGAGATTAAGAATGTGGCCCATTGTACTTTTATTCTTGGAAGTTCTAGATTTCTAATATTGCCATGAGTTGTTTCCATGCCCTAACTCTCCTGTCCTGCTCATTATAGTGGAGAGAACAGGTAAGTAGGATTAAAGTTGCTGTTCTCTGACAATCCAAAGCCAGCCTTGAAATGGAAGTCTCTGATTGAAATGTTTTAAAATAAATCTTTTGGTCCTGTCATATTCCACATGTTCTTCTGATGCCCTTTTTTTATTCTTCAGGTAATAAAATCTAAATATGCTTTTTTAATTGGAAAAAATAGTTTATGAAAAAAGGACATCTCCAACTTCACTTAAATATAATTAGCTGTAAGCAATACTTCTTTCAATTTTGGTTTCTCTGCTGCCGTGATAAAGAAACAGATTTTGCAAAGCAGCTCACTGCCATTTGTGGTGAACCTTTTGAGTATATTTGCTCTATTTAAAAGCTTCAAGTTAAATGGCTAAGTCAAATTTAACTTGTCAGCTTTTCTGAAAGACATCATTTGAAAAGCAGCATGGCTGTTTAAGACAACCCTGGGTTTATACAGTGGGAGCAGCCAGTGCATAATCACAGTTTATGGTGGGTGTTCTGCTGAATCCAGAGGAGGAGGCTCTTTAGAGCCACAACGATCTGCAACCATTAGCATAACTCAAATGACTTTTCTTTTGTCTTGGCTATTGTGTATTTTTATGACAGCAAGAAGTGCTGCTGTTTTTCACATTGCAATCACTTGGGAAGTGTCCACTTACAGTAATCATAAAATGTTAAGACTTGGAGCTGACATGGAATTGGGCAGATTGCTGGATGATTTTGTGATTTGTTTCATGTGTTATTTGTATGAAGATGGTGCTGTACTTGTAATTTGCTTTAATGATAGTAAATTCATTGGCAGGTTAAAAATAAGGTACTTGTGAGTTACTGGACAGAGGTTTTAGGGTTTATTAAATAAAATAAATCAGTAGATGCTCCGGTTTGAGTAGCTCTAACTCAACATGTACAAAGTGTACATCACTGCTGGGAGGTTTGCTGTAGAATTTTGTTTCATCGAAATTTCAACTGAAATTATTCTAGAAAACATTTTTAAAAGTTCCCATTCTAGTTCAGAACTGCTAATGGGGAGAATTTCTAATATTTGCTTGCATTTCTATGGTATGAATTAAGCTTCCATTCCTGTATGTGTGAAGTGTTTGTGCCACCTTTCTCTCTCGGCCAACACAGTGAGTAACTCCATTGCCTAGGTCTTGGTTGGTATTTTGTTTTTTAAAAGGTAAAATGACCAACCTCATCTCATAAATAGGGAGTGAGAGCATCTAGCCTATGGCAAACTCCAACCCAGGGGCTTCTGTAGCTCCTGTTGGAGTTGGCATAATAAAACTGCCTGATTTCTGTGGTGAGGTTTTTCAAGAATTTTGTGCCAGTGGGTTTTTTCTCTTTAGGGTCAAGGACTGTAAGAGAAAATAAATTGTAAGTATTCTAGAACAAAAAAAAAACCCCAACCTTATTGTTTTTAAAATAAACCAAAACTCATCTCTTAAAAGTAATATATATCTCTATTCAAAATATAATTCCATATTCGGTTGTGGTAAAGAGAGATAAATCGCTGTTCAAAAAGCAGATGTACCTTTATACTAAACTTTTTCTTTTTTACAGAAAGTCAGTGACAAATTTGCATGTAAGAATACACACCAAGAATTACTAAATTACAGAAAAAATGCAATTTTCCTGTGTTAGATTTCCTACTGCTGGTCTCTCTCTTCTGTAAATTAAGCTGGTGAATTTCCACCATAGCCAATAAATAAGAGTCTCCTTTCTGAAAGGGCATGTGAAATCCATACTGCTGTCCCCTACTTTGTGTGGCACAGCAGAGAAACAAATAAAGTCAAGGTTCTGTCACTGTGTGACCTCCAAGTGATGGTTAGAAATGGGGAGAGGCTCCCAATGGAGTGGCCTCAAAGAGCTGCAGATGTGCTCGGCAGGAGGCAGCGAGGCCATTCCCTGAGCCACAGGTCACAGGATCAATGCTGCAGTCAATGGTTGTGAGCACGGACCTGCACAGGCACTGACAGAGCAGCAGTGATGGACTGAGGGGAGTGCACGGCCCATGAATCTCACAGAGCCCTCAAAGGAAACTTCAAGTCATCAGACCTATAAATTACAGGTGAAGCACAGTCTCAGGGCTGTGGAGAGTTAAAAGATAATTTGGTGCTTGGTCCTGTGTGTATGGGAAAGCAGAACAAGCAGCATTGATAGAGACTCTGAAAGAAATTTAAATCCATTCATTTAAATTTAAAAGGTGATACTATTAAGTGGTCAGCAGACAAGAGCTTAAAACCTGCATATTAAATGAATAAGGTTTGGGGGAGCACCTCTTGCAGACAATCACATTGCAGTTGTTTTCTTTTTTTGTTTTTCCCCGTGGATTTTATGGGCAGACATGCTGCAGTGTTGCAGACTCGAGTCTGTTGGAGTTTAAAAGCTGTAAATTTTAGTTGTGTTTACACCTCAGTCCTTATTTGAAGTGTTTCTTAGACAAAACAGTTGTATTATAGACCTCTGACTTGATTATCAGAGACAGAATAATACAAAATTGTTTCAGAAGATACAGAAATCATGCATTGATCTTATGGGGAAAAGTTGCATGAAAGCAATTCTGACTTCAAGCTGTTTTTCATTGTGAGGTGAATTGTTGTGATTCCTGCTTTTTAGCCCACTGGGACAGACTTGCTAAAGTGCAGGTGAATTGGGAAAAATTCAAATCCTTTCTGTTCTCCTTTAGGGCAGTGATGCCCTGTGCCCCTTCCCCTCTCTCCATTGGTAACCTGCTTTCCTCCTTCCTTGGCTTTTGTTTATAAAAGATGCTCTCTGTCCTAATCACAAAGTTCACACTTCCTGTCCCAAAATGGACCTCAGTCTGCCTTTCCCCTTTTGGTAGTCCAGTGTCCAACTGAACCTGACACCACTCTGGCCATTAGCAACCAATCTGCCTCTTATTAGTAGGTATCTACTTAATTGTTCACAGGCATGATGTAAACCTGGGAACGGAAACACACAGAGAAAATCAATGTACTGTCATCTTTCCAGCAATAAATCTCCTGCTCTGTCCTTCAAGATAAAGGGAATACCATGAGAATCCATAGGGCCAGGCTAATAACTACTCAGCTCAGTGCAGTTAAATATCATCACGTGTACAAGTTGTAAGAATTGTCTATGTTTAGCAGATATTTAGCACTTCAGACACCAAGAACTGGGAGTGGGTCATGCACAAAGAGGGCAGAGGATGGCTGAAACTGTGAGCACAAGCAGCCAGCTACAAATAATTATTTGTGATAATTCACTTGACCAAGATGGGCACGTTTACGTGTGCATGAAATTAAGGTGAAGGCTTTAGAAATCTGGCTCATGGTTTGTAACAAAAATCTATTAACAACAGACCATGCTAAGCACTGCAGAGCCTGGTGCAGACTGGGATGTGTCAAGAAGAAAAACCTGAATGAAAAAAGAATTAAAATAAGTGAGTGGGAAGGAGTGTACAGTCTACCACAGTTAAACCCTGCTGTTCTGGGCTTATGTCCCTGCTGCACCTTCATCATCCATGGTACCTTTTCTTACTCCAGTCTTGTTTGTCTTGATTGCTCTACTCTGTTTTGTTTGCTTTTTGTTCCCAAAAAAGCATGCAAATAAAAAAAAAAAAATTTATGGTATTGAAGCACATACTAAAACTACCTTTATTTTTCTCAGTATTCTTTAATACTTGTCTGCTTTTCCCCTTCCCTCTACCCTTAAAAAATGCACAACAACTATAAACTCTAAATGAGCTACCTCTACCATGTTCTGAGAAAATTTGGAAGGGCATACAGTATTACATTATCAAAAAGTGACAACTAGCTATAAAGAACTGTATATCTTTTTAATGATGAAAGGGTTATAATGAGAATTGATAAAATGAAATTAATGGTAATTTAAAATAACACAGTCGTTCTGATAATGGTTGTGGCAAGGTTGTAACAGTGCCTTGCTGGTTTTGTACAAGCTGAAGGAGATTGATTTTTGTTGGTGGCCAAGAAGCTTTGCCTTGAGAGGTTGCCATATTTGTGGAAAAAATTTGATGTGAAAATTATGGAAGTGATAAATGGCCCAGCTAGAAACAAGCTGAACTGGGACCCTCATGGCCAACTTTTGAGGAGAACTGCTGTGATCAGATGTCAGCATCACCCTGCATGTGAGTGGCTTTAGGAAGCAGTTGCTTCTTTATTTCCAGATCTTTCCATGATCAGTCAGTGCAGGATAACTTGATTACTTCCCACTTCTAGCAGGTTTTCAGCATAAATTGAAAACTGCTCTGCTGATATGGCTACTGAAGGTATTTTTAGCATTTCCATTGGTTAAAAATGTACTGCAATAATGGAGCTGCCTTAAAAAGAAGAAAGGACATAGTTACTGTGATAGGACAAGTGTGGGGTTTTTTTTTTACATACTTCCAAGTTTAACTAGCAAATAGACGTGGCTGGACTGTTGCTGGTATAGTGTATAACCCACTAAGGCTGGGTTGTCACATGGGACATCTGACATAAGCTGGCATGCCCAGCCCAAACCAGAGAGCTGCCAGAGGTACTGTGGGTGTATTTTCTTTCCCAAGAGTTGAAATTTTATTTTAATGAAAAGCATAGCCTTAATTTTTAATGCTATTTTATCTTCCTGTCCATGTCAGAAACCCTGTAGTCAAGCAAAATCCAAATCACACTACTGAGTCTGGGAAGAATGCACCTTCTAGGCTCCTCTCTCTTTCCCAGCCCACAAAGGATGCAGAAAGCTCCCAAAACTTGGTATTTAGGGTAGTTTGAGTGAGTTCTCTAACTGTGGGCTCAGTTAGGGCAGCACCAGAGCATCAGGAATACACTACAGAATGGATGCAGGAAAAAAATCAAATCTGTCTGCCCAACCATGCTGATGCCCTGTCCCAGATTTTGTAGCCATCCATGCCTCTGGTCTTTAATCTTGTATCCCAGTTTGGCTGGGCTGTCAGGTGAGAAACATCATCAATAATCTTAAAAGCCACCCCCCTGCAGGAAGTGAGCACTGCAGCCTGGCTTACACGCTCCAGATAAGCTCAGATCCTGCAGCAGAAACAGTAAAACCAAGAGACCAGCAATCCCAGGATTTGAGGCTGCCTGGAGCACAAGCAGGAATCAGTAGTTCAACAGAATGTGCTACAAAGTAAAGTGTTAAGTTTTCTTGAGGCTTTTTTTGTTTGTTTGTTTTTGCCTTTATCAGGAGTGACATAATTAAATGGCAAGTGAGTGCCAGAAAAGTTTATTTTAGACATTTTTAGGATAAACTGTTTTGTAGCTAAAGAGGAAACTAAACTAAGGTTCGGATAAGATGTTTTTCTTTATCATATAATAAGATTTAGTAGAAGTGATCTCCTGTGCCTTCAGATAATTTTCAGCTTTTGCCCCAAAAATCCATGGATGGAATGGTGAATGTGGCAGTATTGCAGCATGGACAATTTGGGCCAAATTTTTTTTTCTCTTACATTGCTTTAACTCCATGTATTTGCTTCAGAGTAACTGAGAGACCACCGTTTGTTTCTGTGTTTTTTTAAATGCATTCTAAATTCAGGAGTGGTTTACTGGGATGACTTTGCTTTGTTTTAGCCTACACTTTGAATAGTTCAGTTTAGTGACAGTGGCATTCCAAAGGGTGGGATTTCAGTTGGGTCAGTGCCCTGGGGCACTGGAGCCCCATGTCCAGTCCAGCTGCCTCTTCCTCTGGCTTTGAAGCTGCACAGTAGAGTTGAATTTGAAGAGTCTCAGCTGCTGGAAAATCCAAACAGGGGGAAGTGTGTGTGCCTGCTTAAGTCAGGGGAGGAGGGGGTCCCATAAGCAACGTGAGGCTGCATAAAAGGCATATTGCAGTTTATGATGTCTGGATGCCCACCTGGAGAGCAGAGAGCTCAGGAACAAAATAAAATGACTGAAATCCTGCTCGACTCTGAAATAAGATAAGAGTGTAGTAGTGGAAGGATTTAAATGGGGAGGGCAGCTGTTATAGCCCCCAGTTGTACATATTTTATCCTGAGGCACCATTTGGTTTAATAAAATTTAGATCTAAGGCTGTCCTTAACCTATCAGTTTCTTAAGACTTAATTATAAAGGTTATACTTTCAAAGGACAAAAGCATTATTCATTTGTCTGTTCATGTCTTCCAGGTTTATCTTGCAGATTATGGACTTTCCTACAGATATTGTCCCAATGGGAACCACAAACAGTATCAGGAAAATCCTAGGAAGGGCCATAATGGGACAATAGAGTTTACCAGCATAGATGCCCACAAGGGAGTAGGTAGGTTTCTTTTTTTTTATTTCAGATGAGTGATTATAGAGTGAGCAATCAGGCTGTGAGAGCTGCTGTGCACAGGAGAAGCAGAGGTGGGGATTGCTCAGCCCCTCGTGTGGTGACCTCCACGTGTGCCTGGGAATGCTTCCCCAGGGAAGGGGCAGCAGGGGGAGCCCCGAGAGGCTCTGCACACCCAGCACTGGAGCAGCCCAGGACAACCCCGAGAAGAGCTCAACATCAAACTGAATTGGTTCACGTTGGGAGGACTGGTTTGTGCTTGCTGTACCCTGCAGAGGCAGGATTTGCTAATGCTGCATTGTCAAGGAAAAGGCTTTGGAATCTGTCCTTTAGGGAGAGCTGTGTCTGAGTGTCACCATCTGTGTTATGGGAGGGTATTTCAAGATGGCATTCCTTCTGCAAGGAGAAAAACCTTTTTTGAAGCCATAAAGTGTTAACTTTTTGAAATCTTTTTCCAGTAGCCTTTCATATATCTTACTTATTTAAACTCACTTTGATGGTATTGGAAACACATTTGCAGGTAAATTACATACATAGTCCTTTTATTGGATATTGATTGTACTGCCTTGCATTCCAAGGCAGACTTAATTCAACAATTCCCTAATTAGTTAAAGTCATAACCTATGTCTTGTATTCATTTACCATTAATTAAACCTTAGCTGTTTATTACACTGCAGTCCAAATCCAATAGCAGACCCATAGAGCCATGGAAAAGGGACTGGGAGGTCAATATTGAAAATATATGGTGTAAAGTCCCACTGATGGCTGCATTGTTCACAATCAATATGGTCAATGCAACACAACTTTCTTAGTTGCTATGTCAGCAAGACAAAAAGTCAATTCTAATGTTATGCTAGTGAAAAAAATGGTGATTATTGAAAAACTTTGACTCTTGCTACAAAAGAGTGTTTTTGTTAACTTTTCTTTCCCCTTTCCCCTCCTTCACCCCCAAGATCACCTCAAGCAGGAGGGATGGTTTGCTGCTGCCAGCTTGGTGAGCATCAGTGTCACGAGTGATAGCTGCAGGAATTTGTGCTTGTTAATAGCTGCTGAACTGTTACCTTAAACTAATACTTTCTAACGAGTTTTAGTTGGCACAAACAACTGTATATTATTGCTTTTTCTATTAAAAGGACCATTGACCATGTAATGTAGAGGGTCTTGATAATTTGCTGGAGCTGTTAAAACCTGCAGTCGTTTAACTCTGGTCATTAGGAAAAATGAAATAAGACTGGCAAGTACTTCCTGCTAAGACAACTGCACCATTTCACCTGCTAGAAAATATTTTGTGGTGAGGAGAGCATCTGTTTTGGACTCTTCTGGCCTTCCCAAGCATGCAGGGTGTTTTCTCGAGACCTGCCTGGTAGTGTGTGTGTGATGTGGCTGTGCACTGGTATTTGGTGTGGATGCTCTTTGAAGAGCAGGTAGAAGCTGGAATATTGGGGATTTGGCTATTGGATAGTTCCAGCAACCAGTTTGGTGGTGTTTGTGGATGGGTATGTGAATATAGGACAGATAATTCCATTTATTTGGAAGTGCAGGGAAATTTTAGAGACTTGTGTGCCAAAGTGTGGAGAGGAAGCATGAGGCAGGTTTTGCAATCTGTGTCTTAGATAACCTCGAAGTGCTAAAGTCGTGATGGAATTGGTTAAAACCAGAGGACTCCACAAAACAGAATATTCAGAAAGATATTTTGAAGGAGCTTATCCCCCTCTTACACTTGAAAGGTGTTTGCTTGATAGCTGCAAACAGAAAATCCATGGCTTTTTTGGTGCTCCTGCTGGAAGAGACTGCAGAACGTGATGTGGGATTGGGTATTTGCAGAGCATCCAAACTCTTCACATAGAGTCCCAGCTCTGACCTTGTGATGGTCTCCTGCTTTTGTCTGGGATAGTTAATTTTCATCCCAGTAGCTGTGCAGTGCTGTGGTTTGGATTTAGGATGAGAATGACACTGAGAGCACAGGGATGTTGTAGCTGTTGTTGAGCTCACCCTAAATCAAGGACTGCTGAGTTCCTGGTGCTCTGGCAGTGAGGAGCTGCTCAAGGAGCTGGGAGGGAGCGTGGCCAGGACAGCAGAGCTGGCCAGAGGGATATTCCATACCCTGGGCTAACAGGGACACTGGATAAACTGGGGGGGTCAGCCAGGAGGGGCTGATTGCTGCTCAGGTGGTGCTGAGCAGCTCTTTTGTGCATCACTTTTCTGTCAGGGGGTTTGTTCCTTTCCTGACCTTCCTTTTCATTATTATTATTTTTAAAGTTTTATTTCAACTATTAAACTGTTGTTAACCCATGGATTTTATTTTTTTTCCCTGATTCTCCTTTCTGTCCCTTCAGGGAGGGGCAGGGGGTGAATGGCTGTGTGGTACTTAAATTGGTAGCATGACAAACAGCCTGAATCCATTAAGGTAAAACTACCAGAGTTTCCCATTTGCAGCAGAGCTCTCAACATCCCAGGGAAAATCTGCAGTGGCTTCTGTTGGAGATTGCAGGGGTTCAGCTGGCAGAACACAGCAGTGGGTTTCCCTGCTCTCTTAGTGTGAGGCTGAGAGGCACAGAGATGTCTCAGGATGCTGAAAGACTTCCAGCAGCTTCTTTGCTCAGCAGTCTCCTGGATTCCCCACTCGTGGTGGAGTCTTGGCACAGTCTCCTGTACAGAGTGAGGTGGGGTGTTCTGAAAACTCTTTAAAGCCTTCATTCTGTCACCCAGCTTTTCAGAGTGGAATACTTTGTTATTTCAATGCTCCAGGAATATAGTTCTAATTTTTAAATGCTATTTTATATAAATGAGATCCTTCCCGGAGGGCATTTCCTTTATGTATGTAGCAATATAAATATCTCAGTCCCCCTGAACAGCATCAGTGGCTGCTTTGAGCTGGACAAATGAGAACATTTTGACTTGTTCATGAAGCAGCTGCTGAATACATGCAGATGTTGAGGGACATGCTGAAGCTTTAACAAAATTAGGAATTTGAAGATTTTCCAATGCTGGGAATTGATACCCTTCTTTCACAGAGCCAGTCAAATGCATTCCCTTCCCAGTAATTTAAGTCAAGGCTGGAGTTTCTGTGGTTGAATGGAGAATTTAATTATTGCCCAGGATCTCTGTGGAGCTCACCAGGTGTAGAGTTGTGCAATCCACTGAGATCCAGAAAGGTTCCTACCGGTGGTCACTGCAGGGAAACACTTTGGGGTGCTGGCATTGCTCTGAGTTCTCCTGACAGCCTCTGGTAAGGCCGAGTGGGATGTGCTGTTCCCATGGCAGCTGCATCCTTGAGCTGTGTTTGGAGTTCTCCTGGAACCAAGTAGGGCCCAGCCTGGCCTCTGCCACAGGATCCAACCCTGGATTTGTGGCAGGATCCCATCCCAACCAAGATGTGGGTGTTTGAAATTGAAACCCTTTTTATTCTGATGCTGATTTCTCAGGGCACAACTGCATTGTTGGTTTTAGCATGTACTCACTGTATTCATTTTTAAAGACCAGCCTGTATAAACAGTATTGCATTTTGGCTTGTTGATTGATAATTAAGGAGAATTATATCTGTACTCAGTGTACATTTAAAAAGTTGTTACATAGTTAGTGTTAAAAAGTAATATTTGGATCAATGCCTCCTATGGATTTTTGTAGATTTTCTCCTCACTGAGGCATGCAGTCAATACCTAATTTCTCTGGAGATTTACTGCACTTAACATATTGAGGTCCTTTTAAATACTCCAGTCCTGTGCATTGAGTGCGTAAGCCCAGTTTTAATTTGCTATCATTGATGAACATAAGAGTATGAAGTGTCTATGCTGAATTCCCTCCAGCATATATTTGTGTTTGCCATCGATTCCAGGCTCAGTCCTCTCCCTTCTCCCAACCCTTTACAGTAACTCTGAGCGGTGTTGCCATCTGTGGCATCAGTCGAGTCCCCACTGAAGTCTGTGCAGGACTGATCTCTGCATCTGCAGTAGTAAAAGCTGCTGCTCCTGGCACTGGGGGCTGGGGACCGGCTTCTCTGTGCCCCTCACATGGGGCTGCTGCAGCTTGAGCTCCATCAGAACACTGGGCCACTGGGTTTGTGCAGGGCAGTGCCAGCCTTGGGCTGATGGCAGGGAAAGCCCTGCAGCCCTTGTGCTGGTTTTCCCCAGTGCTCCAGCAGAGCTGCTCTGTGGTGTTAAAAACGCAGCTCAGTGCTTGGCCATTTTTCCTGTTCTGCTGACTAAAATATGTGCAGGGTTCGTTTTGTGAGGAAGGATGTGCAGGAATATAAACACCTATGCCTGGAAACACATTCTTTGGGAGCCTGCTTCCAGAGAACAGAGCTCTGGATCAAGAGGTTGATTTGGCATCTGTCCATGCATAGTTAGGATTCAGAGGGAGCCTGTGGGATTTTTTTTTCTTTTTTTTTTTTTTGTCGGTCAAATGAATTATTGATCTGCTGCAGTTTGATATGTGTTTCCCAAAGACTGTGTACAGGACAAACTGTAAATCCTAAATAATAAAAGGAAAATATAACCAGTCTGGCAAAAAATGGGTGGAACTTTGCAGTGGGAAATAAATAAAAAGATGGTTTAGTTCCTGAGAGTTGGATTAAAAATGTGTGCCCAGCAGAGGAGGGAGCAGGAGGTGGCTGTAAGTGAAAGAAGAGTCACTAGCAAGGAAAAGATTGGATAGGCTTCTACAGCCACCTCTGGAAGCTGCCAGGAATGTTCAGAAGCAGCAAAAATAAGATGAGAAGCATTTACAACTTTGTCACATCTGAGGACTGTGCCTGGAAATGGGCTGTTTAATTTTGGCTGTTGTTCTCTACACCAGTGAATCTCAGCTGCTTGCCCACCCCTACTTGTCAGGCCTTACCTTTGTGATTCTTTTTTTCTGCCACACAGATGTGAAAGAAGAGTAAAACTTCCTGTCCCCACTCTCCTGCCACATGTCCTTACTGCAAGCTTGGAACCTTTTGCTTCCGACCAGGTACTGGCATGTCCTGCCACCACCATTTTACTCCCACCCAGACCTCGTGGTGACATTCCTCTGCACCTTCCAGCCTTCCCACTACATCAACCTCTCCCCAGCCGAGCAGGAACCTCTTTCTTTCAGCACATCCCATTCCACCAATCCTGATGATTCCCCCTGGCAGCTCTGCTGTGTATTCCATGCCTGTGAGCCTATTAACCCATCAAGTGTGTGTCTGTAGGATCCCAGTTTAAGCCTGAGCTCTCTGGAAGAGATGGTGCCATGGATTTTTATTTTTTTATTTTTTTTTCAGCAATCCGTGGTGGAGGTTGTTGTCAGGGAGTACTTGAGAAATGTGCCAAGCAGGAGGTGCAGGGCTGGCCATGAGAGCAGGGGTGGCTCCTGGCTGGCCATGAGGAGGGCAGAGGTGGCTCCTGGCTGGCATTTGCCCTGTCTGAGGCTGGATAACTCTGTGCAATGGCCTCCAAGCACTAAAATGTATCAATAATTTAATGTCCTTCTCTAATCTCTCCCATGGAGCCACCCACTATTCCACTGGTCATTGTCCTGCTGCAGGGAGCTTCTCAAACTTTGGACCAGGACTTTGGGGAAGGAATACTTCATTAACTGTTTTCTGGGGTTTTTTTTGTCTTTTCATTTCTCCTGCCCCTATAATAGAGGCACTCATTTTTGGCAAGTCTTGTATTTGTCTGGTTTTTAATCGGCCTTAATTTATATCACTTTGTATATATATATCTATATCTATGTATTTTTATCATAATTGTATTTCACCATGGTCATGTTAACCCTCCTTTCCTTTATGGGCTTTTGCATTACTGGCTGTGGTGTGTGAGTTCTGTGTGCTTGTGAATTACCATAAATTCCTGTCCTGTAATGCCAGTGAGAACTGGGGGTACCACTGCACATCATGCAATGTGAGCAACCAAAATGATCCTTGTATGAAAAGCTTCTAATCCAAAAAATCACTAATAGTGAAGTTACCATGTAACAGTGCTAACTAAAAATAAGACATTATTTCTTCTGTCACTTTTTTAGATCTTTACAAAAGGCTGAAGAAAAGCAGCTAAACAGAGGCCATAGAGAAAGCTCCCGTTTTTACTTCTGTTTCAGGGGAGTTCTTGGGAGCAGTGGAGTTTTGAGAGTATATTGTGGCTGTTGTGATATCATTGATCTATTTGGAAATAATCATCTGAATATAAATTAGAGTGGAGATAGCTGCCAAATTCAGTGTACAGAGATCTATCATCTATTTTCTTCTAAGGTGAATTGCTTCAGTTATTCTGAGTTATTGGAGCCTGTGCCTGCGAGTTGAGTATGTTTGTGGCATATTTAAAACTGATTTCATTGATGTGGTTGTGAGCTCATCAACTTCACTGGAGTTGTTCCTGATTTATCTTGGTAGGACTAAGAACAGAATCATACCTTAAATCTCCAAATTAAAATTTAAACTGTAAAGGCATTGTGAAATAAAATACCACCAATATGTTCCTATTAAATGCTACTTCGTATGAGACTAAAATAATAGTACAAAAAATCCTGTGAGTAGAAAAGCAGAAATCAAACATCTATTAAAAAAAGAAAAAAAAAACCCAGCAAGTTTTTTAGCAGAGAAGTAAGAATTTGATTTAAATAAGTGCTGGTTGGAGTGTACACTCTTGTAACTGTGACAAGTTATCAAGCAGAATTGTTTTATTTTCACCTGGCTGTCATATTTAAAGTGAAGGCAGATTGATTTCTCTCCGCTGATGTTTATCAAGAATTCCTGTAATCTTCAAATGTGTGAGCAGATTTATTTTTGCAAGTAAACATATCTTTGAAATTTATCTATTAGTGCTCTATTTGATGTGAAAATCTAATAATTCCATTGTCTATAGATAATACTAACTCGTTAAAGATTAATCAATTACTTTTTAACAAGAATCTAAATGATTTAAAAGCTTGAGGGATTTAGCTTATATGGAGCAGAGAGAAATAAGCAAGTACAGCCAAAGAATCAAATGCTGACGTTTTCATGTGGTTCTACAAAAGCCCCGTGTAAATGTCTGTGTTGAGCAGCACTTGTGGTGGCCTGGGAGGTGAAGGGATAGGGGGGTTACTGTCTCCTGAGAAATATTTCCTGTCACTGCTGGGCAGGGGTGCTTTGGCTCCACGTACCTTTTTGGTGTCCCCGTGCCTGCTGTGGCTTTGGGCAGGTGTCAGCCAAGGCTCTTGGTTTGTCATGGCTTTGTCCCAGGAGCTGCAGGTGAGAGGGAAGGTCGTTAGTCATGGCCAGACTGTGAAGAAACTTTAATCTCTAGGACTGTTTTGTCAGAAAACGACTTGTCTGGGGGTAGCTTCTGAAATCTGATTGGTTTGCTGTTATTTATAGATGCACATCAATGAATCCCCCCCCGTGGAAAAAAAGCTGTCCATTGGAATTCTGACAATTTTCATCAAAAGCCTCTTTTCTGTAGCCTCTCCCACACAAACAGGTGCCAGAAAGACATTGTGAAAATTAGAGGATCTGCAGTCAAAAACGCTGGCTTATATGGATCTAATCTGGAATTGCCATAATGGAAAAAGGAGTTGTGAACACGTGTGTGAATGGAATTGTTCCACAGTTACCGGGAGATTTATGGCCAGAGAAATCACTACAGAACAGCAAGTGGTAGAGATTGTGTTTTTATTTTAATATGGGAGCCAAGTCTTGCATTAGGACGTTGCTGAATCCAGGGCAGAAAATAAACGACGCCCGAGGGACAGCACAGCCGTGTTGGATCCAGGGGCCTTTAATAATCCCGAGCCTAAGAGCAGTTAGGATAGGGAATGTATAAAAACTAATCTGCTGCTTTTACAGTAATGTGTGCACAGGAACAAGGAGCCGTTATGATGTGTTGGCACCGTGGCTTTTAGCAGATGACTTCTTAAATTAAAAGATAAGTTCGTCGAGTGACTTTTCTGGAATTTATTTAATGAAGGCCCATAAAATATGATATCTGTTTACAGCTGGATTAACAGCACAGTGCTCAGCTACCGGTCTTTACACTGGATAAAAAGTGCCAAACAAGTCTGAACTCCTCTTTCCTTCTTGGAAAGCACAAATTCGTTTTGGAAAAGCATAAATTTAACTTCTACATCTGTCTGTCTTTAATCACGGCGGGCAGTTTCTGGTTTTGCAGATTCCGTGTGGTTTTGACGTGCAAACCGTAGGCTGCAAGTCAAAGAAATCCTGCAGTGCTCCTGCTTGTTCAGTTTTAGCAAGTTTGGTTTCCTCTGGGCAGCAGCAAGCACTAGCAATCCTGTTGGTATTGCACTTTCCCCCTCCCTCTTTCTCTAGGAAAACCCAGTAGATGAACTTCAGTTTTTCTGCGTAGATGATGCTCAGGCATGGGGTTAATTTTTGATTTAATTTTGTCTCCTGTATTTGTGTCTGCCTGGGGTGTGCAGAGAGTAAGCTGTTCCTGAAATAACTTCCCTTTTGGAAGCAGCAGTGGGAAGTTCAGGCAGCACTGTGCTGAGCAGCGAGTGTGGTTTGGGTCGTGCAGAGCTCCGCAGACGCTGCTGGAGCCGGGAGCGGCTCAGGCGAGTCAGTGCACACTAGATGGCACTTTTGTCCCAGCATCCGAGTTCAAACGGCTCCGCGGGAGAACAGGAAAGGCCATCAGTGTTTAGTCTGCTCTCACAGAGTCCCTGCATGACCAATGTGGACCCCATGGACTTCCTGGAACATGTGTTAGCAATTTAGCAGCAGACATTTATTTCTTTGTTTTACTGCTTGGCTCTTTGAGAAAGTGTTGGTACTCAGTTATGGGCTGTCTGGATCATGTCAGAGGCCATGGGGATCAAGTCCATGTGACAGGCCAGACTGAGGAAGGATGGAGTTGGAGGAGGTGAGGAAGCTGACCCTCACTTGAGCAGGAACAAGTCACTGCCTGTCTGTGGCCTGTGGCCAAATGCCGGGGCGGTTCAGGTCTAATACAGCTGAACAAACAAAACACTTTGCCCATTTCATATTTCATCAGCACCAGTTCAATCAAAGTCTTTTCTATTTCCTAAGAAGAAGTTCCTATTCTTAATTGTATTTTTTTTTCCTCTTTCCCCCCTCCCCCTTTCCCACATTTTAGCCCCATCCAGACGAGGTGACCTTGAAATCCTTGGCTACTGCATGCTGCAGTGGTTGTGTGGGAAGCTGCCCTGGGAGCAGAACCTCAAGGACCCTGTAGCTGTCCAGACTGCAAAAACAAAGTAAGGACAACCCCCCCACACACACACACATGGATACACCAGCCTGGAGCCCTGCAGCATCCTCACTGCTTCCCAGCTCTGGGAAACACAGCTTTCCATGTGTAGAACAGCACCTTAGGAGAAAGCTAAAACAATTTTCCTTAATTAAGAGAGATGTTGGAAGCAGTTAAAATGGGAACTTTATGTGCATGTCTACCCTCCTTTGCATGTTTATGTCTGTGCTGCTGTGAGGAGAGGATGGATTCCAGTGCACAGTACACAGGCATTTTGTCTGCTGTGTGTTTTTCCAATACTCTTTTTTTTTCCCCAAGAAAACATTTGTAAATTAGCACAAGCCTTAGTGCACATACAAAAGGTTGTTGTGTGGTTCCATTAAACTTCACGGGTGCTTTGTAGAGACCGTAGTACAAACATCTCTTGGAGGTTTTTCCACATGTGCACTCAATTTATTTAACTTTCTATATGATACTGTTTTTCAGATGTTTTTCTGTAGGTTTTTAATGTTACATAAGCCTACTGCCATTACAAACAATTAAATACCAAAACACTAAGGAGCTTGGTGAAAATCTTTCCTTTTTCCCAGCATGACTTGGAGCTCACTGGAGCAACAGTGGGTCAGTGTTTTCTTCCTCTGCCCTCCCAGCTAGGACTGGAGGGAGTTAATTGCACCTGGTACCTGTAGCAGGCTCCAGAGCAGAGGAGCTACCCAGAACTGTAACATCACAATAGCAGGAGGCAGCAAACTTGCAAGTAGGGCAGGTCACAGCAGAGGTACCTGCTGGGGGGGCTGATGCCCAAAATCCCTGTGCAGATTCCATGGGCAGCAGCTCCTGCAGCCTGTGCACAGGGCTGAGTGCAGCTGGGAATGTTGACACCCTCTGCTGTGTTTAATATTTCTCCTTTAGAAGTTCTGATCATTACACAGCCCCCTGCGAGGTAACACTTAGACAATTCAATGGGAAATCAATTTAATCAATCAAGCTGCTCCAATGATTCTTCCCTTGCTGTTAACCCTTGCATGGCTCGTGTTTCCAGCATTCTGAACAGAAGGAGGCTTCAAGGAAATGCACAGAAAATTCCACAGATTGCACTTATCAGAAATATCTTCTTACTTTAGTGTTTGCATTCCTGGAATTAGGTATCTTGCCCAGGTTATCCCTCTCACCTGTCTTAATTTTCAGGTTCCTGTGAATGCTGGACTGCCCAAGATGAGGGCTGGTGTTATTCCTGTTTTTAGGAATTGATGCCAAGCTTCTTTGCTGTTCCTGTTTCTGGATGGACAGGAATTACACCTGTGGCCCTACTGTTTATGAAGCATGTGGGACTTTGGGTGATGTGACCTCCCTGTCCCCTTGTGGCCTTGTAGTGCCTGAGTCTGACTTTACCAACCATGTGCTCCATGGCAGAGAGGGCCTGATACTAAATGATAGGGAGCAGGAAGGCAGAGCAGAACTGCTGCTTAAATTCCAAAATAGGAATGGGAATCATCAATCTGAAATCAGAATGAGCCATTTTGCTCAAAGGGTTTTTGTTTTTCCTTCTAGGAAGCTTAAAATTTGTGCAAAGAAAAGCTTAAAGTGCAGTTTTAAGTGTCAGCCTGGTCTTGGTGAAACCAGCAGCATGCAAATAGTTAAAATTTGATCTGGTGAGGGGAGATCTGGGTTCAAAAGCAGTCCTGTGAATCATTAGCTATCCTGGAGGTCCACTCCCTTTGGAACTGAGACTTGCTGTCTTCCTGAATCCCAAATGAGGAATCACCTGCTCCAAAAGCGCATTAAACTGTTGCACTCTGTGTTTCAGACTTATGGATGAGCTCCCAGATTCAGTGCTGAGGTGGGATTCTCCTGGAAGCAACTGCAGTAAGTGAACTTGCACCTGTACCCTAAGGCTCTTCAGCCTCTTCCTAAACACAGTTCAGTGTCTGACTGTGGGGGGAGCAGAAGAGAAGGGAAAGTAACACAAATTGAACAAAGTCTTTGGGTAAAAAGGAATCTTGCTCAGTCTATGATGTATCCCATGGAGTGACATCAGGGATCCTGGCCATATGTAATCCAAGGTGTTGGGAAGCAGTGACTATCTTGGAAACAGAAGTAGCTGTTAGTATGGAAATAGTAAGCAACTGTCTACCAAAGGTTTATTGCTCAGTGCTCAGAGTTTGAAAAAGCAAATGGATGCACAGTTTGTCTTGTCTTGTTTCTTCCTTCCCTGAAACACAAAAGTAACTCAGGGAAAACACCAAAGGTCAGAATCTATTTTTTATTTATTCCCTTATTTTCCTAGCACTTTTGTATTGGAATTATTGGAATGCAGTGTGTATTAGGGGAAATTTATTCATGATGTGTATACATATTTAATAAATCTTTCCTGCTGGGATTTGACCAGATGCTAATATCTGGTGTAGCACTCCAGTTTTAGGATACACTTGGGTCTTCAACTGAAAGAAAAGTTTGAACCCCCCATATGTTTTTCCTACTAGCATTATTTCTGTCCATTCAGTGGTTTCCCTGTTTTCTGAACTACTTGATGGAAAAATGTTGCTGCTGTTGGACTGTTTTGGGATGCAATCAGAAAGACAATAGTAGTGTTTGAAGTTTTAAAAAAATTGTGTTTTTCCAAAGCATTCCGAGTATAGTTTTTATGCAGATTAAAATAATACTGTTCAGAGTAATTAATATTTAAAGGGATATTGTGATCTATCAAAGACTTTCCTCTTTTACACTGAACTATCAATACTCCTTGATAAAATATTTTAATTTTTATCCTTGGATAGCTGTCAGTGCTGTGGGAATTAGTGCATGAACATAACGAGATGGAGCACTTCAAGTCTGGCTTGTTTATCCAAGTCTGTCTTTTCCTTTTCTCCTCCCAAAAAGACAAGACATTGTCAGTTCTGTGTTTTGAGTGTGCCTTCAGCTAAAATTGTGTTGTCTCGTTTGGCAGCAGAGGATTGGCATCCGTGTTGGAATGAGATCCTCTCTGAACTTCTGGGGTTACACTCAGTGAAATTCACAGTCAAATCTGCTCTACAGGTGAAATAGCCAAGTTTCTGGCCTCTGTTTCTGGCTTAGCTTATGCTGAGAAGCCAAAGTATCAAGTGCTGAAGAAAATCCTGCTGGATGGCCTGGAGTCAAGTGGGATGCGTTACGACGGCCCTCTGGAATTTTCCACGGCAGCAGCAGCGAGCACACGGAATCACCGCGCTGCTAAGGCACCCAGAGTGAGTGAGACAGCTCTGGGATTATCTCTGACAGCTCCTCTTGGACAGGAGAAATAGTTAAAGCTCTCAAAATGATACTGACACAGCAGTTCTTCTGCCTTAAATGCACCATGTTTGTTAATTCCTGTTTCCCCTGGCTTTGCTAAAAAGTGGAATGTCAACCCTCAAGGAGGAAGAACTGCCATGAGTCCTTTTGACCCACAGGCTCTCACTTCAAAGCAGTAGGTCTGTGGAGAATGATTTACTTTCAGGATAATGGGGAAGTCAAGGACTTTGTTCACTAACATCTTGAAGACAAGCCTGGATGCCAGGTTTTTCCTTCGTCCCAGATTAAAAGCAAAGCTACCTTTATTAGTGACAGCATTTAATTCATTTTCTTGCTTTCAGGCTGTTCTTTGTCATTTGCCTTTATCCTCCTGCAGTGTGGAGGAGATGTTCCTGTGGCTTTAGCTGTGCTGTTGGTGTGCACTGGCACAGGATTTTCCAAGTGACAGCTCTCCTGTGCTATTTTCCTCCAGTGCTCTAAGTTCATGAAGCCCAGCTTCCCTAAGCAGAGAGGGAGGTAATTAGCAGTTTTGCTGGGAAATGCCAGTCCTGTTGTTCCTGTGGAAGTGCCCATATGCAGCAGCCCTGTGCAGGGCTCTGGGGCATGTGCAATAAGGCAGGGTCAGGGTCCCATCCATTTTTAATATTCCTGGTGAACTTTGGACCATCACAAGTGTACGTGAGCCAAGAATGCAGGATGCAAACTAATGTGACTGATAGGCTGCGAGATGAATGGTGATTCAAGTATCAGTGCACAGATGGTTCTGATTTGCTGAGTTTTGTAGCTGCTGCAACTGAAGACATAAAATATCCTTCTAGTCATAAATTAGCTCTTTGGAAGCAAAACCTTGGCACCAGAGCTTTACAACCTTCAATTAGTAGGGAAAGAAGTATTTGAATGACTGTGGTATTGACATCTGTAGGCCTGCATAGTAATCATTCCTAATAGAAGAGAATATCTGTTTGAGGGGGTTTTGCATGGCTAATTAACCACCAGTGAGAATATGTAATTTTTTCATGATCTCCTGATTGTCACCTTTCTCTCATGATACAATTAGATTTTATTGTAGCAAGTGCCTCACAAACCAATTGTCAGCACTATTTACGTATTGTGGAAGGCAGAACAAAAGTTCATGTTTAATGAAAAGGCACTGGGTTTTGATCTTGGTAATTACAGATACTTAGCTTAGCACTTTTATTGACTTTTCTGGTTTTGCCCCCTTTTTTTTCATTTTAACAAACCCAAAAGCTGTTTTGGTGACAGGACTTGTGTGGCTGTAATGGTGAGTACTGTGCCCTCACTCATTCGAGAAGTTTTTTTAAGTTTGCACTGTTTTGTGAAGTGACTCAGAGCATCAAGTAGCTGTTAACTGATCTCCAGCTGATCCTGCTGGATCTCTGTTTCACAGGAGTCTTTGATTTCTCAGAGTCAGACACTAAATAGTAAATCTATTTCCTTCTTAAGCCTGGTCGAAGACTCAACAGTGTGTGGCATAAAAGATGATTTCAGCCTTGCAGGCTGCAGGAGCTGCTGCAGCGCTGGATATTCACAAGTCACACCCCCCTGGAAAATCCCTGGCTGAGGAGTGTCAGTTATCACCATTCCTGTGCTGCAGGATTCTGTGGGATTGGGTTTGATGGCCAGGAACAGGATGAGAGGGAATGCCTGGGTGTTACTAAATCTTGGCACCTGTCAGCACTTTCTCAGGGGAATCTGTAATGCCGAGTGTCTCACTTCTTGGAACAGTGAGAACACCAGGATCACCTGGGTATTACTGCAGCCTGTTCCTTCAGCCAGTTTCCCCTAAACATTTGCTCCAAAACAGCTGCAGAAAGGCAATTTTAGGGTTATTCAAAGGATTTAAGGACTACTTAAATACAAGTAGAGAGGGCAGGTAACTGAACTCTCGAAATTTATTGCTATTTTCAGAAAATGCAATATTTCAGTGGCCTGGTACACTTGGTGCTGCAGCCCTGACAGTGCTGGATGACAGGCAGGCTCTTCCCAGTGCATCTTTTCCCAGTGCATCTCTTCCCACTGCTTAGTGATCCTTAGTTTGTTTACCAGATCTCTTGACCCTAGATGAATATTTTCAGCTTTTACCCCCTACAGTGAAAGTGCTGATGTTGGGGCAAGAGGAAAGTGGGGTGAAAGCAGGCAGAAGGCCAAGTCACTTGATCTTGTAGAAAGCAGACTAAAAAATAATTTCATTAATACCAACCTGTAATGTCATTAGAATGAAATATGGTCATTTTTAGGTGTGAACCCACTTATTTTTCACTTTTGGATGCTCTAAGTCCTGTTTGGAAGGTGATGCAGTTGTTTAAGGTGTGTATATATGATGATTTTGTTTCTGTGTGAAATCTGAGCTTTTTTTCACTGTACATAATGCTTACTGTGCACCCCAGGCTCGCCTCCCAAAGTCTCCACCAAAACCAGCTCAGCAGAAGGGAAAAAAGCTGGAAGGTGAAGAACCTGCCTGTCAAAACAAAGCGTGTGTGGGGGTGACAGGCACACAGCTCCTGGGAAAAGAAAAGCCAAATACACGGAGCAGGAAGCCTCCCCCAGCAGAGCTGCAGCAGGTGAGGATTCAGCACCCAAATCTCCCTTGTTCATTAGCTCCGTGTCTGTCTCTTGGGGTGTGTGAGGAGGAACAGGGCTGGAAAAGAGCCAAGGGCCTGACCTGCCCCAAAGCTGGCACCTCCAAGTGCTGGATCAGGACCTGGGGTAACTGTGAACTTACTGAGTTCCTTTCAGCACACAGAGTTGCTGTCTGTACCTCAGCGGGCTCCCTTGCCCAGGCCTTCCTCAAAAGCAGTGCAGCAGAAGGAGGACACAAGGCACGGGGACCACTCCAGCTGCCTGAGCAGGCCCCACACCCGGGGAACACGGCGGCAGCTCCAGGTGGAAGAGAAGCCACTTAGATTTTACACTACACAGCAGGAGCCTGAGCACCCAAAACAGGTGAGGTGAGGGGTTTGGTGTTACCACAGAACAGTCTCAGTGCCTTGAGAAGGAAAGAGCAACTTTTCTAAAAACAAGAGTTCTAAAAACCCCTTGAAACCTCAGCTGTGTGTATGCAAACTCTGTTTGCCACGAACACTAAAGGTTTGTGGGTAATTGCCTGAACGTATTATTGGCCAGCTACCAGTGCAGTTGGTGTAGCTGCAGAGCAAAGCCCTGCATGTGGATGCAGACTGTAACTTCCCAACTCTTCTCTCTCCCTTTGTGGACCCTGGTGTTTGCTTGGTAGAAACTTAGTTCAGTAGTTTCCTTCTCTGTGTAGTGGAAAACTTCATAGTGCTGGTTACTTAAGTCCTTAAATTCTGAGTTTTACATCAGAGGATTTTAGCAGTTAACAAACTCACCTTGAATATTACTGTTAATTTAGTATAAAGCATAAAAGGGCTGAATGAATAGTTTAAGTCTTACTCTTCAACTGTACAACAGGAAAAAAAAATGAAAAAATGAATCGGTTTTAAGTACAAATAATACAGCACCACATCCACCTCAGTGATCACCCTGTGCTCCTGTTCTCTGGAGCTCTCGTGTATTTTAGTGAGGAGATTGCACCGTGGTTTTCTTTCATATAAACAAATAACTTGGTTAAATGAGGACAGTTTCTAATGAGCACAGCTTTAAAGGTAGCTTTATGATTAATCCAACATTCTTTGCTTCAAGCAGTCTGATCATCACTGCCTGGAGACTCCGGTACAAGCTGGGAGAGGGAAGCAGCAAAAGCACAGCTGTACCTGAGAGCACCAGGCAGGACAGTGGTGAGCAGAACCATCCTGGGACATGTTTTGGCTGCCAGCAGGGGAGATGGAGTCTGACAAGTCACACACAACTTTAGAATAGGAAAGCATTCCAGTGCTACTTCCTAGTCCTCAAATGTCAAGTTTTTGCAGAGAAGGGACCAATCACTGGGCTGATGGTTAGATTATATTTGTGTTTGGATTTAGTTTTTCTAATGGAAAAGCTGCTATTGCAATAGGATTAAACATGCTATTTCTATGTAGAATCATTCTGTGGTACTCACTGAATGGGTGTTGGATACCATTTAAGCCATTCAAATGAGAAAATGGAGAAGGAAAAAAGGCAGGATTTTCTTAGCTTCATTTTGCAGAATTCCTCTCCATTTCTCTCACATAATTCAGGAGCTTGGTAATAGAAATCTCTCTAGGAAACCAAAGTAGTTCCTGGTGCAAAGGGACAGTGGAAAGAGAGTCAAGTCTCAGCTAAGTTGTGGTGTTTGGGGATCCCTTTCAGAGATGGAGGTGGGCCAAGGACAGCATTGCTGCTGGAGATGTAGAACAGTCCAGGCACTCCTGGCCAGCCAGAACAAACCCCACTTTACCAGTTCATGTTCCTTGTGGTGAGCATAAGTTCAGCTTCACTGTGAAATGCAAAAAATTAACCTAAATCAAACCAGCACATTCACACTTAAAATCATGTCTTGAGTTTCCAGGATAAGCCTTTATTAGCAGGAACACAGGAAAGACTGAATATAGTAAACGTTTTGGGAAACAAGTCAAAGATAGAGAAGAATTTCAGCTGTAGACTTCAATAGTAGATATAGATATGTCTCTTTAGGTGTTTAACCCTGCCTTATGTCACACACTCACCATACAATATCCATACAAGTGCAAATTCCAGAGGTAAGACTCTGTAAGAATTGTAATGTTTTCTCTAGGATAACTAAATACCTCAATGGCATCTCTGTTTTTTTGATTCACATCTCACTTCATATTAGCTGTATAATCACAGCTTTTTTTCCCCTGCAGGAGGACACTGCAAGAGAGCTGCCACTATTTGACCCCTACAGAATACTCTCAGAATCCTGGAAGAAACACAATCACCTTCTAACTCCAGTTCCTGCAGCAGCATTCCCAGCTGGTGCTGACACTACTCAACCCTCTCTCTCTGCTGTGTTTAGGCTGGCATTTGCTGATGAAACCTACCCCTACACTGCAGCTGTTCTGATGCTTCTGCTGCTCATTGTCCTGTCCTTGTATCTGCTTTGATGTTGCTGTTCCCGTGTCTTCAGTGGAAGTGCAGTGGTGCTCCCACCATGCAGTTTTTCCCTAGAGTTTCTTCATTGAAGATTTCAGTGTCAGGGGCTTGAAAAAGAAATTTTAAAATAATCCTGTCAGTATTGCCTTGTACAGGCAAGTTCTCATCTGCACTTAGTAGTTATGGATTCTCTGAATTATTCGTGCTGGTTTCTGTTACAAATGTTGGGATTCTTTTTGTTGTTTTTAACTGAACCTTTTGTTACAGCATTAAAAAAGTATCATTAAATACAATGGAGTGTTGTGTTTAATTACTGGGCACTAGTGTGGGGCTGTCTTTATACTGTGTCAGAAAGCTTTCAGTTAAACACTGACACATTTGCCTTTTCCACTCTAGTTCATTCCCTACTCCTTAAGCTTTCCTTACCTTATTACAATAGGGACATTCACCAAAGATGACATTAAAACTCTGTCTGCTGGTAGGAAGGCCTTGTAGCCACTGCAACACAAGAAGTGGATTAAAAGTCACATTAGTTTCATCTCCAATTTGAGAAACATCTATTAACTACCAAGTTCAGCTGATGAACACCTGACAAGGATGAATCCAAAGTCAGACAGTGGTTCCCTTTCCCAGAGAGCTCACGTAGGAACTGGGGGTGACAGGACAAGTGACTGCCATAAATTCTGCATTAAGCAAGAGCCCATAAGGAACATTAAGTGGGCAGTGCTTGTTGTCCAGAAGGTGCCAGCTACTGGGCAGTTTGTGCCATTGGTCACTTTACCTCATAGAGACAGGCCTGGTGGAAGGGCTGCCCACAGCGAGGATCGTCACACACTTGGTCGGGCGTGCTGCCCTCCAGCCGGTAGGCGTAGCAGATCCCACAGTCCTTGGCAAAGTCCTGCAACGCAGCAGCACAGCTGAGAGGAAGGGCTGGGCTGCTGACACACAAACAGCTTCACCTGGGATTTTAGTTTTAGTTTTTGTTGGCTGGAATTACTATTTTTTGCCTCTAAGACACACACATTTATGTCACAATGGGGTAGAGTGACACTGGGTTCCAGGTGTGCAAGACTTGACTGGGTTATGTTTCATCCCCTTACTGACTTGCATCTCCTTCAACAAGCATTTTCATACTTTTGGGCACTTTTTGTTTATTAACCACTATGATTTGTCACTATGATTTGACATTAGACACAAACCCTCAGTCAAATCTTAATTTAGAAGCTTCGTGAGTGAAAGCAAACCTTGTAATACAGTGTTAAGGCATTGTCAAAAATTAATTCCGTTTGTTTGAAATGCACCAGTATTTGGGTGGCCTCTTCTCCCCTCCAAGCAGCTCCACCTAATTAGAACTGAAGTCATCAGCATCCACAACAGAATGTTTGGATTTTCCACATCTCATTAGCCACTCTGGAACTCCCTCTTTTCCTTTTAATAGTGGAGCCTGTTATTAATGGCCTCACTGCTATGAAGGCCATAGGGAAGGGTGCTCCTCTAATCAAAGGTTAACAAGCTCTGACAACTGTTGCTTGAAGTTCAGAAGTCCTTGTGACTATGTATTAATCCAATTACCTCTCAAAAGTCCCTGATTGTCCCTGGCTCTGAGAAAGTGACCATTTAAATGTGACTTATTCAGCAATAATGACTGATTGTTAACCAAAACCAACTTACGCTTTTTTCCAACACAGCACGAGATGGAAAATCAATTTCTAGGAGCTCTCTCAAGTTTCGTAGCAAACTGATTTCTGGATCCCTGCAGGTGGGAGAGAGGGAGAAAAATCCACACAAGGAATGACAAACACTATTTGGGTTTCTGGCCTGCTTTGCCAGAGACACTCACCACAAGTGCATGTTGCTGTTGAGTTTAGCTCTCAGAGGGTTCACTTCTGCAAACAAGAGACAGGAATAATGGCATCACCCCAGGGAACCTCCCTTCAGGTAGGGATTGGCTCAGAGATCTGAGTCCAGAGGAGAAACAAGTGGAATTTGCTGCCTTACCATGATCTGCTCCAAGGAAGTAACACTCTGGAAGCATGTTTGGATGGCGAGGATCTACCTCTACGTTCACTGAGACATTGTTCCCTGCAAGGACAAAGCAAGGCCACAGGGATGCTTTGCACTCAAGGATTTGAAAAAGGAGCCATTTTTCAAAGTAGTTTTAAATTGGTTAACTCAGGCTGGGTTTCATTAGGACAAATAATAACAAAGTTGGGAAGTATCCAAATGATTGTACAAAATATCAATATATATCAAATATTTACATTTCCACAGGTTATAATTAAAAATTGCAGCTGATTAAAAAAACCGCCAGGCTTGGTTTTTTTTTAGACTTGGCTTAACCTTTACACTTATTCAGAAATAAACGTTATCAACCCAAGCTAGATGACAAAAATCCATCCAAAATCTTGGTGAAACTTTAAAGGTAAAGACATGGAACTTAGTAATTCATCTTTATCTTTCATAGTTAAAAAGAGATGCCCAAACCCAATATTAATCAGAAGCAGTCAGTCCCCTCCCCAGCAAATTGCAGGACCAAGACAACAACACAGCTGTATTTTTGAAACAGCAAATATTTGGCTTTACAAGACACCCCACCATCCCTGGAAGGGCTCTGTTCCTCAGAGGGAAGCAGCTCCGTGGTGCTCTGGCTCCAGCTCCAAAACATCACAGCAGAGTCTCTTCTGAACCAGCCCTGGTGAAACCCAACCTTTTCTGTAATTAAAGCTGTGTTAGGCTTTCCATCCTGGAAGAGCTGGGCATGAAGGAAATCCAAGTTCAGTGGCAGCTGAAGGTTCTCTGTGCCCGACAACAAAGGGCTCAAAGCCCCGTCCTTCCTCTGCTCAGCTGCTCCAAGGCACTTTTTGGGGCTTTTCTTCCCTTTTCCCTGGCCTGTGGCAAAGGGCAGCAGGAGCAGGACAAAGCCCCCCTGACTGCACACGAAGTGGTGTGTGACCCACGTCATTCCAGCCCCTTGCTGAACTTCTCCTGTCCTTCCCTCCCCTCCAGCTCCTTCTTCCCTCCCTCTACAGCTGTCAGGGACAGCGTGGATCCACTGTATTCTCACCTTTCTACAATTTGCTAATGGTGATGTGGAGTTCAGCACTTCTTTGGCAAAGATAACACCCCCCCAACGTTTCCAGCCTCTGACAGTTGCAATTACAACTCCTTATCTTACACATATAATTATAAAATTCCTTATCCTATGTATATTAAGACCTTAAAATGTCAGACATCAGCATATAAACTGAGGCACGGTTTCAGGTGGTTAACAGGGAAGACTCACTTCCTCTCTTTTATTTCTTTGTCATTTCCCCTTGCCTCCTTTAACCTCCTTTTTCCCCTTGGGCTGCACTCTAATATTCCTTCCACTCCAGGATAGGATGAATCTAAAGTTTAAAGATCTGGAATTTGTGATAGGCACAACGGCTTCCCTAAGCTGATTTTTAACAAATACTGATTTTTCTAGGGTTACCATGCAAGTGCTCAGCTGTTGACAGTTCCATGTGCATAATTTACCAGTACACAAAGTTTTCCTGCAGAAATTTTCATTTATCTGACACCAGAAAGTTGTAATGAATTTCCCAAACAGAATCAGCATTCTGTTATGGAAAGTAATTTTTTTAATATGCAAAAGAGGAGTTCTGTCTTGGTTTTTAAGTGCTGCCTTTCCTTTCCCAAACTCAAAGAAGCACCATCTGATGAGACAAGCAAAACAAAACAGCTCCCTGAGTTTTACTTCTTAGATCCACTGTATCCCTTTAAATCTTTTCCTACCTATTGCAATTCTTCTGGTTGTAGCACTCCGTGTGGGATTTTCTGGCTCAAGCACCCATGTCTTCCCATCGATTTCATCAAGGGCATCCCAGAATTCCTTCAGGGACTCTAAGGCTGCCAGGAACTGATTGTAAATGTCTATTAAGGAGTTCTAAGAAAACAAGAAATTCAAACAGATTTCATTGAGTTTCCACCAGCAGCCCGAGAGAATATTTAAAAACTAATTTATTCATTCAAGGAATGTTGAAATCCATGTGTGTGTCCCAGTGTATTGTGATAGCACAAAACATGGAATATCACCTAAAAACCTCATCATCATCTCAAAATTAGACAGTATAAAAACAGGTGCTTAAGATCAGCTTTCAAATCCTGTAAATAAGGAGAAACCATCTAATGGGCAGAGGATTACACTTGAGGGATTTCAATACTTGAGAGTGGGTTACAAGGAAACAGAAATATCTTTCATTAGACAGGACAATATACAGGACAGCAATGCAAAGGAAATCTGAAATCTTCAGTGGGGAAAAAGAAGTCACCATTTCCCCAGGAAAATACTTCTGCAAGAGGAGAAAACGCTTGGTGGTCAAGTGAACCCTTTGCAGGTGCAGATACCCAGAGAGGGACACATTTCAGATATCTCGAGGTT